TGCACATGCCACTAAGTTTAAATCTTATTTCATAGCCCTTTACTTGGCCTGTCAAACTCTTTAAAACAAGGCTGTTGTTTGCCTCTTCAGCCTCCCCCAGCCACTTATCTTGCCATACTTTAATCCAGCAAACCTAACACTCCACACTGGTACCTCAGTCTCAAACGTACCAACACCAGCTTTCTCCATCGACTCCAATCCCACTTTCCCCAGGACCTCCCTTTCTTTGTACTTTTATAGTATCCTGCAGTTGTCGCCATCAGAACGTTGCCACATTGTTTAGAAAAGTCAGATTACACAACTTTCTCTTTAATTAATCTATGAGCCCCTAAACAGCAAGAATCTATATTTTACCATTGAAAATTCCCGGTATTTACAGAAAAGGTATGTAGTAGGTGCTCACTCTACTAGGACCTTGTTCCTGCTCATTTCTTTCCACTCTACCCCCAAACATTAAAAAAAAAAAAATTAAAACAGCAAACAAACCCTGTTCTTGCTTGACCTACATGTTAAACTTTTCTAATCAATCTTTTATGTCTGTTCCCTTTTTTGTTGTTGTTGTTTTTAACTTTGGCCTCTGATATCTAGCTGTTTGGTGGACCATACCCATGAATTCGTCATCCATAACCTATTGCCACATCCCACAGTTCCTCCTCCTTGAAGCTTCTGACTGTTGTTCATATTCCCCTTAAATTGTCTCCTGTGACTGCATGCCACTGCCAAGCATTATCCTTGTTTCAAATTCTCTACTGCCATGAGTCATTTAACCTACTCTACCCACCAGCACCAGAAACACATTCCCACCTGCACTTTTGGGCTATTTGCTATTTGTGTTGGCAGCTGCCTCAGCAAAAAGTCTTATCCTGTGAAAGCCCCTTGTTTGGAGCAAGAATTTCTTCAAATTTGGTTTCATTGTACATTAATTGGGATCCAGACCTCTCCCTAGTTCCCTAGGGTCATCGACTGAGTAAACCAGCCTCTTTTTTCTTCACTTCAGACTCCAGTACTAACATACTTTTTGGGGGGCCATCATACCAAAAGGTGTTTTTTGTTGTTGTTGTTATTGTTGTTTATTAATTAGCAAGTGGTTTTCAAGCACTTCTCCCTAATTTCTGTATATTTTCCGGGAATCCCTAGGGAAAGGGGCTAGAGGAGGAAGTCACTAGGTGGAGCTGTGGTGCATTTAGGCTCAAACTTTATTTTTATTTTTTATTTTTTTGAGACAGGGTCTCGCTTTGACGCCCAGGCTGGAGGGCAGTGGCTCAGCTATGGCACTGCAGCCTCGATCTCCCCAGACCTAGGTGATCCTCACACCTCAGCCTCCCAAGTAGCGGCGACTACATGCCGCGCCTCTACACTCGGCTAATTTTTGTATTTTTTGTAGAGATGAAGTTTCGTCATGTTGGCCAGGCTGGTCTTGAACTCCTGGGCTCATGTGATCTGCCCACCTCGACCTCCCAAAGTGCTGGGATTACAGGCATGAGCCATCGCACCCAGCCTCAAACTTATTTTTCAATTCTGTTTAAGATTATCTGAGGAAATACATGCGTATATATTGTGACAAAATTTATGTGGGTCAGTTCTCATCTTTTCAAGGGCTATTGTGTTCTCCTGCGAAAGCATGAGGGTTGTAGATGTCAAACCTGACCCTTAACACGTCAGTACTTGGGAGTGTAACCACTTCAGGAGTGGGAGTGGTATGAGGGACTGTACTCAGCGGTACAGCGTTCGACGGCCCTCTCTGTAATCCTCGGCAAGTCACAGGACATTTGAGTTTATCTTCTGTAAAATGGGAGTAACCTTACTGAGTTACCGGAGTAAACGAATCATGTAAGGAGAAGTACTTTCCGAAGCAGTCATGCTAGCTTAGCGAACCGAACACTGAGCAGAACAGCAGGATTCCCACCGCTCGAGCCTCCCTCCCAGTCTCCCTCCCAGCCCCAAGTGCGGGACCGCGGCGGCTCGTCTCCGTGACAACGTTCCAGCGTTCCCGGCCCCGCCCCCACCCGCCGCCAAGACCGGAAGCTGCTGCGAAGCAGGCACTTACCTGGTTTCTCGCCGACGGCGCCGGGTCCGCGCTTCCCCGCCGGGAGGTGAGAGCCGAGGCGTCTTGAGGGCGCCCAGGCCGCGGTCAGAAGCGGTGGTCCCCGGGCGGCGGAGCCGGGACGCGGAGAGGCGGCCGCGCACTCCGCGCCACGCCTCCCTCCGCGGGCCCGCGCAGCGCCCTCCACACGCGTCCCAGTTGCCCAGCCCGCTCCCCTCCGCTCCCGCCGCCTCGCTTCCTCCCCTCGCGTCTGCGCACCCCTTCCCCTGGCCCTTTTCCGCGGACCCCTGGCGTCTGCCCTCCTAGCCGAACCCGCGCCCCCTGCCGGCCCCACGCGTCGCCCGCCGCCTCGTCCCGGCGGTTCCTAGCCCCGGAGGCGGGGTGGGCGCGGGAGGTCAGGAGACTGCCGGACGCCAGCCCTCCCGGAGCCACCTGGCCACAGGGCGGCGAGCCAAGGGCGGCTTCCCCCGCGGAAAGACCCCGGCGTCCCGGGCTTTGGTCGAAGCCTCCCCGCCAGGGACCCCGTCGTGCCGTGTCGAGGGTTCCTTCCCTGCTCAGGTTTAGAGCAGATTCTGCGCCTGGTGCCGAAGTGACAGGGCGGCCACTCTTTTCCAGAGGCTGCTTTAGCCCGGGATCCCTCCTGAATCCGTTAGGGTACCTGACAGCTCCAAACCGGTGACCTCAACCCTTCCCGACCCTTGAGTCTCATCCCCCAGACTCTTCTGGCCCCATTTCATCTGGAAGCGCAGCTGCCTGCCGCCGCTTCCTCCTCTGCGCTGGGACAAAGCACAGGGGGTCACCCCAGGGGCCGCTGCTGCCTTTGGCCTCTTAACCACACAGTACCATGCATAAGTGTGGACAGCCTGGATTCAGACCCCAGCTTTGCCCTTGGCCAGAGTACCTGGCTTTGCTGTGACTGCATCTTCGTCTACAACAGGAGGATAAAAATCTAGGGTTTTTATGAGGATTTAACCTTTATTTTTACTAAAGTGTTCAGAACAGTGCTTGGCACATAGTACATTCTATTAATACGCGTATCTGCTATTATTTGTTTTATAGCACATCATTGCATAAAATTGTATCATTAATTTGGTAACAAGCTTTATGAACTCACAGCTTTATACAGGCACTGCTGTTTCTTTAATACCTAGAACAGTACTTGAAATGAGAAAATAAATCAAATGGCAGGGTACATAAGGAGGGAAGATAGAGGCGGATGTAAGATTTTTAAAGTAGTCGTTTTGTTGAAGCTGAGCAAACACTCTCATATACCTGCTACCCAATTTTAAAAAAATGTGTTTAGGCCGCACGTGGTGCCTCAGCCTGTACTCCCAGCACTTTGGGAGGCCATGGCAGAAGGATCACCTGAGGTCAGGAGCTCAAGACCAGCCTGGCCAACATAATGAAATCCCGTCTCTACTAAAATTACAAAAATTAGCCCCGCATGGCCATGGATGTCTGTAATCCCAGCTACTTGGGAGGCTGAGGCAAGAGAATCACTTGAACCCGGAAAGTGGACGTTGCAGTGAGCCAAGAACGTGCCACTGTACTCCAGCATGGGTGAAGGACCCAGACTCTATCTCAAAAAAAAAAATAAAATAAAATAAAATACAATTAGTTACTGGTGATACTTAAAAGTAAAATGATACCAAATGAAGTGCCATCTTTACCCCTTTCTTGCTAACAAGTTAATAATACTTGCAGAAATCATTGCCTTCACAAGTCACTATGATGGTGGCAGAATTGTGAATTGATACAGTCTTTTGCAATTTTTTTTTGATAATACGTAGCAAGACAGAATTTGCTATTCTCCTTTGATCCCCAACAAGCAGATTCCTTGGGACATGCTTGAAGAAATAATTTGAAAGGAGAAAAATAATATATTCATAAAGATGTGCCTCACAGCATTACTTGCAGTAGTGAAATTAGAAACAACCTAAATTTTTTAAATAGATAAGTAAATAATATGGATATGGAAGAAAAATGGAAATACATTCAGGTTGAGGAATGTGTGATTGCCTTTATTGTTGTTGTTTTTCTTTTTTCCTTCTTCTTTTTTTTTTTTTTATAGAAATGGGATCCCACTATGTTGCCCAGGCTGGTCTTGAATGCCTGGGCTCAAGTGATCCTCCCACCTCTCACCTTGGCTTCCCAAAGTGCTGGGATTTCAGGCAGGAGCAAAGTGCCCAGCTAGCTGATCATGTGTATTTTTTTTAATGGTTCCTTTAACGTTGAAATGATGTTTTAACAGTAAAACTTGAAAAAACTCACACAAAAGTACTTCCCTCATGAGACTATTTCTTTGAGCTCTTTGTAGCAGACTAAAAACGGATAGGCTCTTTGAAATGGCTCCAGAGTCATAGCATTTCCCAGACTTCCTTTTATTTGGGAGCTTCTGTGCAATCCTGGCTGATCTCTTATTGTAATATTCAGTAGCCTTGTGGGCATGGTTTTCAGAATGAATTGTGAATCACTTGTGTATATGAAGTAATGAGTCTTAGCTGTTTGGTTCTCTTAAAGAAATATTATTTAAAAGCATGCTTTCTGGCCCAGGAATGGTGGCTCATGCCTGTAATCCCAGCACTTTGGGAAACCAAGGCAGGTGAATCACCTGAAGTCAGGAGTTCAAGACTAGCCTGGCCAACATGGTGAAACTCCATCTCTACTGAAAATATAAAAATTAGCTAGGCATGGAGCTGTAGCCCCAGCTACTTAGGATGCTGAGTCATGAAAATCGCTTGAACCCCGGAGGCAGAGGTTGCACTGAGTGGAGATCCCACCACTGCACAACAGGTAACAGAGTGAGACTCCGTCTCAAAAAAATAAAATAAAAAAAGCATGGTTTCTGTTAAGACTAGGGTCAGTATGTCCTATACAGTCTTACATTTCTAATCTTAGTTGTTTTGCTCTGAGAAGTATTTGTCTTTTGTCTTCTTTCCACTTGTTTCTTTAATCATATTTAAGGAGTGTCCATAAGGAGAGCTCCACCTCCTGGAGGATTTAAGCCTAACAGTACTGAGCTATTTGCCTGTCAAAATGTCTACAAAATTGGGAAAGTCATCATCACTCCTAACACAAACTTCAGAAGAATGTGTTGGGATTCTGACAGTGAAGATGGAAGAGGAAAAGCAGACCTGTGATCTGGACTCTATCCTCCACTGGAGCAACAGCTACAGCCCAGAGACCTTCTGCCAGCAGTTCAGGCAGTTTGGCTACCAGGATTCACTTGGGCTCCGGGAGGCTCTTAGACAGCTCTGGGAACTTTGTCATCTCTGGCTGAGGCTGGAGGTGCACACCAAAGAGCAGATCCTGGAGCTGCTGGTGCTGGAGCAGTTCCTGGCCATCCTTCCAAAAGAACTGCAGGCCTGGGTGCAGAACCGTCATCCAGAGAATGGAGAGGAAGCTGTGACTATGCTGGAGGGTGTGGAAAGAGAGCTTGATGGACCAGAGCAGATAAGAAGGATGCCTGTGGAGATGAACCACCAGGCTGAATCAAGAGCCTGGGCACATCACTGGGAGTTGAGCTCTCAAACTGTATTCCCATTCAGCACAACTGAATGTTTAGGGGTGAAAGTACTCATGGGTGTCCCAGCAAATAGAAGGTGGCTCTACTTTTTCCCTCCATTGTCCTGTGTCCAGATACTTTTTGCATAGTTTCTTCTTTGTTATTTTATCCTCAAGTCCCAACCTGATGGTGTTCTTCAGGCTCAGTTAGGTCTTTTATGGACAAAGGAAGGACATGATTGCAGAGAAGCTAGCACCTTCAGAAATCACTGAGGAATTGCCAAGTAGCCAACTCATGCCTGTGAAGAAGTAGCTCCACGGAGCGTCATGGGAGCCTCAGTCCTTAAGACCACATGGTGAGGGGGCAGAATTCAGTTCATGGTGGAAGATGTGGGGGCCTTCTGCTCACCACACACATCTCTGCTGATTTATGCAAGAAGCCTCAAATCTCGCCCTCTCATCTCCTTCTCACGGTGGGAACTTCTGTTATTTGTCCTACTAAATGAAGATCTTCAGTATTTTGTTCTGGCTTCTTTTTCAGAGATTCTTATAAAGTCTTCAGATTTTAAATTCTTGACATCGTCTCCAGCAGGGTTTTCAAGCCTTTTTAAAGTAGCCCTTTATCTTCAGGCAGCCCTTGAGGCCCTTCTCTGGGACCCTAAGTTACACAGTCTAGAGACCACTGATCCTCATCATCATTTCCTATATAACTGCTCAGTTACTGGTGAAATCTAGTAGCAAAATTACCTATATGGCTGCTAAGGTGACTTTGCTGTCTTATGTGCTTTAAATACATTTCTCAACTTCTTCACATCCTCAACTGGCCTCAACTGCTCTTTGCATCACTTTCTACAAGTGCTCCAAAATAGCTGCGTAGCAATCTGTTCTTACAGTGCAGATACTAAACAAATAAAGAACCATGGGGAAAAACAAAAACAAAACAAAGAATAAGGGGGTTAGATGAAGGTAAGAAGTGAAAATAAGGCTGAGTTACAGGCCTTGTAGGCTGGAACTACTTGCTCCTGCTTCAGACAGAGTAGCTGTGTTTTCATCTGTTTTATATATATTGGAACTCTAAAATTTCATTTGATAAAAGGGCCATGCTACTTTAAACAGACTAGTGAGGATAAGATCTTATTATATAGAGTGGTAGGAAGGCCTCTCTGATGAAGTAACATTTGAGCAGAAGTCCTCCTTCTAGATGATCATCCTGCATAAAATAGGAGCCAGAGATTGAGGAAAATCCTACTTAGGAGGATCTCCTCCCCTTTCTTCAGCACTGCTTCCGTAGTTCATAGCTGATAGCTAAGCAAGGTTAGAGTTTTTCTGAGGGAATTTTTATAAGAAACTATACAAATAAAATGCAGTAATTTTAAGAGAGATTTAGAAATCATTGTTCACCTTTACTTGGCAAGTACTGGCTCTCAAAAGGCTTATACTGGGACACCTAATACCTCCAGTCTAGAAATTGTCTTGGTTTACTTAGAAAAGTGAAAGTCTTTTCAGGAAAAAGTATTTTTCATCAGGAAAGGAAGGGAGATCATCCCAGACTCAGCAGCTTGGTGTGGTGACTACAGAAGTGACCAACCTGAAAGCCAGGTGTGGCAAGAACCACATTCTACCTGTGAATGTCCTCACGGAGCCCTTTCCTACATTTTTCTAAGATTTGTAGAAATTTGAAACAGAATGCAAAGGGTCCAGGATCTTGCAATACAAGGCAGAGAGAACCAGAATCATGTGATAGAATAATACAGCCATTTAAGGCCACAAAATGACTTCTGTGGTACTGAGTCATGTCTTATCAAAGCTGCTGGGAGATGACCTTGGTCTTAGTGCTGTAAAGTACTAATTGATGCCAGGATTTTGATAGTAATGACTAATCATTGAGGTCACTTTGGAATAAATTGAAAATGAATTTGAGACAGAACCATTTATAAAATGATTTCCACTTAAACTAGTAATAATAAATGAGCATGCCATATACCATGGTTTGAATGTTTGTCTCCTCCAAAACTCATGTTGAAACTTAATCCCAAGTGTGGCAGTATTGAGAAGTGAGAACTTTGAGAGGTAATTGGATTATCACCCCTGTCCTCATGAATGGATTAGCTCATTCATGGATTAATGAGTTAATGGGTTATCATACAAGTCAAACTGGTAACTTTATAAGAAGAGGAAGAAAGGGCTGAGTTAGCATATTAGTGTGATCAGCCCTTTCACCATAAAATGCCCTCTACTGCCTCAGGACTCTTCAGAGGGTCTCCACCAGCAAGAAGGCTCTCACAAGATATACCCCTTCACCTATGACTTCTCAGCCTCAATAACTATAAGAAATAAATTCCTTTTATAAATAAATTACTCAAGTTCAGGTGTTTTATTCTAGGCAACAGAAAATGGACTGAGATACCACCTTTGTGAATAAATACAAGAAATTATTTTAAATTCCTTTTGTAATAACTATTTAGACCCATTTGATTTGATTTTTATGTAGCTTTTTAAGTTAAGTTTATTTAGTTTGCTGCAGCAGGAACGAGAACATGCCATGGAAACTATGGGGTTTGTTATTAAGAAGGAATTGAGAAGGGCTCATGTTAATATTTGAGCGTGTGTTGGGTGATTCTAAGGAGATTGTAGAGACAGCAGGTGGAGCCATTTTCAATTAAATTCAAAGAGTAAAACAACAGCAGCTCATAGTTTTCTTACTCAGTATCACACTCTGTCACTGACTGTTCTCCCCAGACCTCCTTTCTTACCCCATGTTTTTTATTTGTCCTCAGGAGGGCCCAAAGGATCACTTATCATCAGTACCTCTCTGGGTTCCTTTTAATCTTATTTATGTAATTACTTCAGATAAAGGCATCCCCAGTAGTCACAGCCCCAGCCAAGTCATGTCCCCAGACATGTCCAAAACTGTTGTACTTTGCTTTTATAAACTCATTTTAAACTCCTGTCTTTCAGCAGCTTCAGTTAAAATGCCACCATGAGGATAACTGAAGTGATTTCTTTAGGTAATGCATCCAAATTACACTGGCATTTTCACATCCGAATTAGCAGTTCTGCTGGAGCTTCAGGCACCCTGAGTCATAAGGCCCTCTGCATCAAGCCAGATTTGTGTGCTGCCTGAGTGGCCACAGCCCATAAGCAGCCACGTACATTTCTCATAGACGTTAAAGGTATACAAAATAATACAACAGACAGCTGTTCAACCAGTAATATCAAATCCATACAGGAGCAGAGATATTTCTTTGATGGGTACTTAGCTACCCTTGATCTTTGAGGTGCTAGTTATCCTAGTCTATAATCTTCCCTTTATTTGCCTAACTTAAATATTTTCTTTATTTTCCACATTCCTTTTTGGCCCCTTGGCTTTCTTCAGCTCATTTCTTGGCATAGTTATTGATTCCTTTATGATTATTAAGCTTTTGTTTGTTTATTGATACTCCGGTACTAAATCTTGTTTCTTACTCCCACGGCCACATCGGATTCCTCTACTTCGGTTTGTCTGTCTGCATCTCCAATCATTCCTTCTTTTTAAGCCCTCTCTTTCCTTCCAGACTTTCCTTAGTCTCTGACATACCTTTTAATTCTTATTCCCTTTTCTGTCTTTTCCACAGAGCTTTGCATCTTTATAGTTTAGTTGATTGCCTCCTCAGTATGTAAACCTTTCTCTTTGTCTTATATAATCTTCTCAATATTATGTCATACACTCTCCATCCTCTGTAATGTGTGTTGTTTTATAAATATGCTAGCTAATAATCATGTATATTTAACTTGGATCATTCTCTCTCTTTCCTGGTGACATTTGTTTTTCTACTTCAGATGAAGACATCAAAACTATAATTGTGAAATCTGTTTCAAGGCAAAAGACTTCTTCAGGCATAGAACTGCATTACGATGCTTCCAACAGCCTTCATATGAATGCCTCCCAGAGTTCCACATATAGAAGAACTTACGAACAAGTGGTAAGTTTGCAAGAAGACAAGGAAATCCTTCTCAGAAAAAATAATACAAATGCGATGAATGTGGCAAAATCTTTAGTCAGAGTTCAGCCCTTATTTTACATCAGAGAATCCACAGTGGAGAAAAACCTTATGCGTGTGACGAGTGTGCAAAGGCGTTCAGCCGAAGCTCGATTCTGATTCAGCATTGAAGAACCCACACTGGCAAGAAGCCCTGCAAGTGTCATGACTGTGGCAAAGCCTTTAGTCAGAGCTTGAATCTTTTCAGACATAGAAAAAGAAACATTAGAAAAAAGTCCCATAAGTATCATGAGGGAATCAAAGCATTTACTCAGAGCTATTTTGGCACAAGGGAAGACACAAGGTGCAAACACTCCTTAGCACAAATCAGTGGTCTTAGTTGACACCAGTCTCCTTTCAATGGTCATAAAAGCCATAGGAGAGAAGGTTGAAAATCTCATGTCAGCATTATTTGCTTTTCTGCTTATCAATGCTGTGTTAATTCTGATGTTTCGGATTCCAAAGCTTAATTGAGATTTCCATCGCTATGCAGCCCTTGAAAAGACATTCTCAGACATGTTCTACTATTTTCATTATTAACACATATAATGAACTACCATGTATCTTTTTAGACAAATACATTTTTTCCCTCATTGAGAAGGAATGTGTGAGTTACTCCGTGTAAAAATAGATATCCTCCTCCATTTCCTAACTTGAGCACTAGAATTCTAAAGACCGAAGATTAAAGCACTCTTAAAAAAAATTCCTGGCTGGATGCAATGGCTCACACCAGTAATCCTAGCACTTTGAGATGCTAAGGTGGACGGAGTCCTTGAGCTCAGGAGTTCAAGACCAGCCTGGGCAACACGGTAAAACCCCGTCTCTACTAAAATACAAAAAATTAGCCTGGCATGGCAGTGTGCACCTGTAATTCCAGCTACTCAGGAGGCTGAGGCAGGAGAATTGCTTGAAACCAGAAGACAGAGGTTGCAATGAGCTGAGATCGTGCCACTTCACTCCCAGACTGAAGTAGCCTGGGAGACAGGGCAAGACTCCATCTCAAAAAAAAAAAAAAAAAAAAAAATCCTATTTTGTCTTTTGTTACCAGATTCAAAATATGAACATAGGATTGCAGAGGCCCAAAAGAATTTGTACTTCAAGACTAGGCTGACGTGTTTCAGGTCACTTTCAGGAGGCAGATAAAGGGCCTTAATCGCTTATGGAAGGTCACAAGAGCCTCTATACTATTCATGATACCAAGTTAATTTCTCATGTTGGAAAAAAATAATCTTGTTCACAATGTAGTTTGGAAATAATTCAATGGAAACATTAAGAAGACTGCATGCCTACAAGGAGTCTAAACATAAGGAATGTTTTCATAACAATATTATTCAATGCGTACTTCTGTAAGGTGGATGATCATCTTAATGTAAAGAAAAAAGGGAGATGAATGAAATTGTCTAACAAGACTGTTGTACCACAAGTGCTGGCAGGTGCAGTGTGTGATGGAGAAATGTACCACAGCTTAACTGGAAGAGGAAGCCCTTAACTGCTGATGACAGTGCTTCAGTGTTCCCTTTTCTGGACTAAATTAGCTATGAATATGTTACAAGCATCATAAGACAACCTTTTCAGAGTCTTCTGCATTCTTAGTAAGATTAGTTTCTAGACACACTGTTATGAAATGAGAACATGGATTTTGATGCTCTTGTACATATGAACAAATCACTGAAGTTCAGTTCAAAGGGTCCATTGCAATTCCTTATAAACAACTGTTGAACCTAACCATTATAGTTTATATGTGTCAAGACAACATTTATGGGATATTTTATTTGGCTTACCTATGGGGATATGAGTAGCTATATTTTTATATGTATTTAATTCAGCCGGATTCCCTGTTTAAAATGACTGATTAATACATTATTAAAATTATTCTGACAGTATACAAACAACATAATGATCTCTTTTCCAGAGATTCTTGATAAAACTCTGTAATATTATTACAAAAATACATGTATTATGTTTTCCATGATGCTATAGTTACCCAGTATGGAGGCAAACATCAGAAATCAAAGTCCTTGGAATAGAGAAGAGGCTCATAGTCAACTTCTTTGTCTGGTTGGGTTCCTCACAAAGTGTAAAACTCATTGTTCTCAGAAAATCCAACCATATCTTAGAGTAACTCCAGAAATTGGCTTAGAGGAGCTTCAGATATGTGGAATTACCACACTCTGCTTAGTTAGTATGCTGATAAATATAAGATTAGTAGGAGGAGAAGTGAATGTAAATTTTATTATATAATTTTCTGATAGTGATTATGATTTGTAGCTTTAGTAAATATGAATATATACTGAGTTCTCTGTACTTCCAGTCATTAAAAATGTAGGATTTTTTTTTTGTTTGTTTGAGGCCCATTCTCTTTGTAATTAAAGAGAGGAACAACCCATCTATTGAAATAACAAATGCCTCAGAAATGTGTATATTGTGAATTACTGCTTAATTACAGAGTTTCTTAGGTTCTATGTGAATAAGATGATGGAATCTAAATCAAGTATTTTGAAGGAAGCACTCATCTTCACTTGGTGCTGCCATCAACTTTGTAAGGTTGCATTCTCTTTATTGTGAATAATTTGAATGTCTCCACCAGAAAGTGGTGTGAATCATATCATCGAAGTATATGATGAATTTTTAAAGGGGGTTTCTGTGTACTTTGAATTATTTTGCAGTTATGTAGGTATCCTAATACGTTTTTGGTACTAGTTTATGTAAAAGGAAAATTAGTTGAGCTAACTTCGATTTTTAAAATTAACATTTTATTAGTACCCCCATTATATTGATTAATTTTCAGGGATAGTAAATACTCCAAAATGAAATAGGTATTGATTTATGGATTTCACTTCATCTGGATCTCCAAGATGTAAGGAGTTAAGCCACTCCTTACAACAGTGGCTTAACACAGCAAGCCTTTCTGTGTTAGGAATGCTCCTGGATGCAAAATCCATTTTTGGTGGTCTAAAGAAATAGGAGTTTTCAACCTGAAATCTGGAAGGTGGGTTGCTGGCTCTCAATCAGCAGCTGGAGGATGACTGGTCTAACTTTATCTCATGTTATTTTGTCTGATTTTCGAGAGAGCTGTGACAGCTCTAGAAACTGGGATTAAGTCAGGAAGAAGAGATAGCCAGCCATGCTAAGCAAAAGCTTTCTGAAAACCCTACCAAAATTGGGCTTATGCTTCCTTGCTGCTAGTGTGTCTGGTAGGGTAAGCATTTTCAAACTAGAGGAACAGCAGGGCAGATGGGAGTTGAGGATGATATGGGGTTTGCCAACCATGTTTGCCATACTAATCCTTTGTCACCTTCCTTCTTATGGGCAAACAACTATGCCTTTCCTTCCTGCATTAAAGGAGAAAAAAAGGTAAGAACTCTTACAACTTCTTGCTACTAGATTTGCCAAATTATTTACACTTTACCCATCATTTCCTCTCCCTCCTCTGAGAATGAGAGACGGGTCTTTCCCCTCTGAGCCTCAGTATTCTCACCTCTGAAGGACCTTGATTGCCAGTCATTCTTCCTCTCTTCTGTTTCTTCACTCTCTGCCTTCCTTCTGCATCCATCCCTTCAACACTTAAATAGGCTGTTGTGACCCTACCTCCAAACCTATATTTTTCCAGCTTATACTGGCAAAATTCAAGATGGTGACTAGTCCCTGAGTGAGGGGAAAATTGTGGCCCTTAACCTTGCCCTCTTCATATGCATTAATCTCTCAATCAAAGTAATCTTGCTATGGCATACATTTTATCATGTCATTTCCCTGCCTAAAACATAGGCTTTCCCTTGCTTTTAGGATAAAGTCAGAACTGCTAAACAAGATTTTTAAGGCTCTTTGTGATCTGACCACCACAGCTTACCACTTCACCTTCAGCTCTTGTCATTGCCTCCTTTATGCTTCAGCCATTCTGCTTTACTGGAAGTCCTTCAGCCTTTGGGCCTTTCCATGTACTCCTTTTGAACTCCTGTCTAGCTTTCACAAGTTACCTAATTCCTGTGTATTCTTCATGTTTTAGTTTAAGTACCACTTCTTCCTTATACCCAAAGAGTAGGTTGGGGAGTACCACCACTCTGTTATTTTAATTGCATTATCAGTCTGTTCTTATTTTTACCATTATATTTATCTCATGAAATAAAACTTTTTTTTTTTTTTTTTTTTTTTTTTTTTTTTTTTTTTGAGACGGAGTTTCGCTCTTGTTACCCAGGCTGGAGTGCAATGGCACGATCTCGGCTCACCGCAACCTCCCGCCTCCTGGGTTCAGGCAGTTCTCCTGCCTCAGCCTCCTGAGTAGCTGGGATTACAGGCACGCGCCACCATGCCCAGCTGATTTTTTGTATTTTTAGTAGAGACGGGGTATCACCATGTTCACCAAGATGGTCTCTATCTCTCGACCTCGTGATCCACCCGCCTTGGCCTCCCAAAGTGCTGGGATTACAGGCTTGAGCCACCGCGCCCGGCGAAATAAAACATTTTTAAAGTATTAAATTGCAAATATGGCCCCAAGGAAGAGGAATATAAATGACACCTTGCAATGGAAAAAGTTATGGAGTAGCAAAAAGAAAAATTTTTAAGGCTCTCCTAGTCCTGGGAAGAGTGAGTGAGAAAATGAGAGGATTAGGCCCAGATGTCCTTTCACCTCTGTTGCCCAACCCCTGCAGAATTATGGAGGGGGTTAGGGGAGAATCAAGGGGAGAGGGCTATGCCCCCTTGCCATTGAGTGCATTGGGAGGAAAATTGTTGAACAGACTGCTGGTGCTCCAACACTGAACTCTCATAAAAATGGCAATTCAGTGTTAGGTAGAGGGCCTTTATCAGCTAATATGCGGCTTGGAAGATATATGGCAGTTCTCTGTGCCCAGCAGGAACCTTGGAAAATAGCTGACTATAGAGCTGGTAAGTTGGGATAGTTGAGCAAAGTAACCTTTGTGGATCCTGTAGCTAAGAGCTACAGGGCCCACCAGACCTTACTGGGGACCTATAGCTCTTCCTAGAAAAAAAGTGAAGACAAATCACCAAGGAAGAGACACTGGCCTCCAGCCCAATCAAAAGAACAGATGGTTTGTTCCTGCAGGTTTGGTGAGCAAGCACCACAGCAGACCAGCTGCCCAGAATAGAAACCAGGGAAGATTGGAACAGCAAGCCCACCTAACATGCAATCCATAGCAGCACCTAATCACAGGGAATGTATGCCCCAGCTTCCCAAGAAGATGGTAAAAAAGGGCAGAGTGAGTAATAGCCATGAGAGGGAATTGAACTTAAAATGGACTGAATAATTCAATTTAATAATTATTAACTACATATAACAATTTAATTCAGCTCTTTCACCACCCATCCACCCAACGCAGCAGGGATTCAAGAAAAAAAGATTATAGTTATAAAAAAATAAACTACGTTTTTCGTTGCTTATTTCAGAATCAACGTGATAACCTTCTGTCCTGCTAAATGGAGATTATATCTATTTCTGTACTGACTCCACTATTTCATGCTGCTTGAGAGCATGAGCTGCCTCATTCACTGTTGTTTCCCAAGCCTCTGGTACAGTATGTGGTGCATAATTGTGACTCAAATACTTGTGGAACAAAAACACTTGAAAATTACATATCTTATATGGGATTACTGCCTACAATATATAAAGAACCCCTCCAACTCAACAACAACCAGAAATTTCAAAAATGGGCAAAAGTCATGAATAGACACTCCTCCAAAGAGGATACATAAATGGCCAATAAGCACATGAAAAGATGCTCGACATCACTAATCATTATGGAAATGCATATCAAAACCACAACCAGATACCACTTCACACCCATTAGGATGGTTACTATTTAAAAAAGAAACAGGTATTGGAAAAGATGAAGAGAAATTGGAATGCTTGTGCGTTGCTCTTGAGAATGTAAAATGTTGTAGCTGCTATGGGAAACAGTTTGGTGGTTCCTCAAAAAATTAAACAAAATTCTTATATGATCCAGTAATTCCATTTCTATGTAGATACTCAAAAGATCTGAAAGCAGAGATTCAAACAGGTATCTGTATGCCAATGTTCATAGCAGCATTATTTGAAATAACTAAAAGGTGGAAACTACACAAATGACCATCTACATATGAATGGATAAAATTTGATACAGACATACAACATAATGTTATTCAGCCATAAA